CGCCGTGGTTTTTCTTTCATCTACAACTCATTCCGTTTCTCCCAACGGAGTCGTGGTAAAAGTCTCGTGACGAAAATCTCTCCACAGAACGGGGAATACACGGAATAGAGTTTCTACGCCCCGAGCAGCCCAGAAGAGAGTTGCCATGGGTAGCTACTTTTAACCATGAACTTGGCGAATTTTTTTAGAGATCTAAGGATCTTATCGAGCACAGACTAACCATGTACCCTCACGAGCAATCACACTCGGCTTCGGCTAGGGGAATAGTCGGCTTGGAGGAAGAGCTTCGGTATTAGTTATTGGGATTTATGCCAAATTAATTTAAGAGAATTAACTTCGAGGCCGGATTATCTGCTCGAAAATATGTATATCCTCCAGCTCGGAACGAATTTCGTGTTTCTTTTTCACCCGTGTTCACCCGATCCTTTTTCCCCTCCCCCCATACTTCGTTTGGTTTCCTTAGCTCGTGAGAGTCCTCGTAGGCGTCGCGCCGCCTTTGTCCCCACACCATCCTCTTTAATATGCGAGCAAGGACCCGCAGGATCTCGACGAGCTGAATCGACAACGAGTGTCCCATTCCTAACACACTCCCCTTCGTGACCGTCTGAAAACATCCACCCTGCGGAAAGATCTCTCAACGATCGTTTCCACAACGGGGGAAACAACCCCTCTTTTAACGGTGTCCCCTTGGACGTATTTGTGAGAGATCCCTTTTGAAAACCGCCGGAGGACCAGTCGACGGAACGTCTCGAGATATTTATTTCGTTGATCTCGGGCCCCGATTGGACGATCTGGCCCTTTGTGCCCCTCCCCCGAACACGAAACTGTCGGAGAAACAGTCTCCAACGATGAACGCACGTTGCATGCTTGAGGATCCAGACTCTGGATACGACATGATCCGGATTCTAGAGTGTTCAATGCATTTCGGGCAGGTCAGGAATCCAGCTCGGTTTCCGCGATTTCGCGCAATGCTGCACGAAATATTATGGAACTGTCATTAGACTTTTAAATCGACGATTGTCCCTCACACTGCCGGTGTCTCGTAACGAATCGTGAGAAGAATGTCCTGGGAACTAGGGGGCGTCGTTTAAAATCCATTAAAATACACTCAATCGACAGACAGATCGTGTATGTGTGTCCCTAACAGTGATAATTGCTGGTTTTGTTCGATCGAATTCGTCAGTTTTATCCCATTTACAACACCGATCTCCTGCCGATTATCGCACTCTCGAGTCGTGGGTTTCGACGGTCTCGAAATATAGGCCAAATGAAATTCCTCGGTTTTGTGAAACCGTGGCTCTCGTCGTGACTCGATAACGATTATCGAACGGCGATCGAGAACGTATACACTGCGCTAGGGCAATACAAGAACCATGTTCGAGAGAGCTATTCCTAGGAATATATGCGGCGACGGCGGTGAAAGTGTGCGAAAAGGGGTCCCCCAGAAACGGTGCCGGTATATATGTATAAGAATGCCGCGTAAAAGTACATACGTTGTCGCTTGAACAATGACGATGGGAAACGGAACGAAAGAAAAACCCGCGGAGTGACACGAGGAACATCGAACGTGTGTTACTACGCGTCCAAGATGGCGGCGGGGGACGACATCGAGTCACGAAAATTACACCGCGAAAGAGAAAACCCTGGATAGGAATTATCCCAGTGAAACTGGAGGGAAAGGAATCAACGGGGAACGAATAAGGAGGACGTGTCGTATGTTTGATCGATGAATCCGTGAGGACGATCTTACTCTAACCTCTATTCTGTAACGCTTATCCGAGTCTTCGAACACTTATCGAGGATTTATTGTACTACGATAAGTTGGGGTGACTTTTACTCATTGTCAGTCTGGGTAACTTTGTCCCAAGACAGAAAATCATTTTTTATTTTGCAACTCTGGCTTCAGAACATTGGTTTTACTCGATCATACTAGATGTTATTGTTATCAGAATATACCTTCTTAGCAATATTGTTTTAATTTCTGATCGATACGGCAGTGCCCCCTTTCAGAATGTACAATTACAAAAATACACTCCTAATGCAAAGTACTTCACGTTTCTCCTATCTGGCATTTTCGAGAGATCCATAAGGTTCGATCACCGGGTGAAAGCGAAAGGATCGCCGCAAATATTAATTAAAGAAATCTCTCTGAATTAATACAAACAACCAGGCCCAGGAGCATGAAGCTCGACCACGCAGTTCGGTTCACGCAATAAAAAAGAAGAGAAAAAAAAAACTTTCATCCAAGCGAACGTATTTGGTTACGGTGCGTGGTCATCGTTGTTCCAGCGAAACGGAGCTACTGAGAGAGTGTCGGATAGGTGAGAAAATCGGTGACACACGAGACCCGCGGCGCAGCCTCCGCTCTCGAAGCAAAATGGTTACTTCCGGTGGACCGATGAATCACCCGGGCGCGCGAAAGATAGATCGAAGGGGTGGGTCGCGTGCAAAATCGTCGCTCGTCCATTCAGTCTTAGAAGCGTGAATCGTGAAACCGGTCGCCCCACACCTTTGTTCCCGATACAATTATTTAGAAATTAAAAGGTTTCGTGAATTTTGGTCGTGTTATAAAATTATGCCGCGATATTAATTTCACGGAAAAATTTTGCAACGGTATTTAAATAATCCAGCTTCGTTGCAAGTGTCTCTTTCTTGTGTCTCATCGATATTTGGTTGATGTTGTAGTCAAGGTATTAAACTCGTTCGGAAGTTCATCGAAAGTTACACATATTCTGTGTGCATGTGTAATAATAATTAACGAATCAGCGAGCATATCGATGGAACAGGTTTTGGGATCGTTGGTAACTCACCTGGAGTCGTCGAATCATTCACTGACCACTTCGAATGTGCGTCCAGGGATTATATCTCCACTCTAATTCGACGAAGTACACGTGAGTCCGATTCCCATCTCGATCCTACAACGGAAAGATCGGTACAGTTCTCCTTACGAAACCATAGTGCACACCGCGTGGGTGGCTCCGTACAACCGTGACCGTTCGCATTTTAATTGAAAATTTTCGAACGACACGTGGGAGGGAGCGTCCAGTTAGAACCGAGACGGAACGATCGAGAGGCAGCTTGTAAAAACGTTGGCGTTGTTACTCGCGGAATGGTACTCTGTCGACGATATTTCCGTCGATGTCTCACTCGCCGGTCGAAACGAAAACAGAGCGATTTATAATAGGTCTCGTGGCGTTGCAGAAACGTTTGTAGGCGGCTGTTGTTGTGGTACGCGGGTGGTCCCGCGATAAACAGTAGCAGAAATTCGACCAGATGCACGAACCACTTCGCGCTACCGGTCACACAAACGATCGCCACAGATTGGTCCCGAATCAAAATTCGTGAATGGGTAGAAAAGAAATCTTTTCTTGTCTTCCAAAAGAACTCACGTTAACTTATTATTAACTGCATTTGTCTACTACAGTGGTAAAATTGGTCCATCTAAATAAACGTATAAGCTACAGAATGTTGATTAAACAAAATTTATCAGTACAATTATTTAGCGGAAGCAATAAAAAATGTTCAAACTCAGAATTTGTATTTAAATAGAAGCAGATAAATGTAAAGAATTTTATCAATTTTCGGGTTCCTCTTCGATGACGTTAACATTAACTAACAGTGTTCTCAACATTCTCATGAATATTTGAATTTCTAGGGAATTTCTTTTTCTATTCTATTAACGAGATCGATGACAGAAAAGGGTCTCAGGCGACCAGCAATGCGTGGAAGAAATCTTACACGGTTAATGATAAGTTGATCCGAATTTTTTCCAATGATAAAAGATATTTATTTTTCACCATTCGAACCGCTGGATTTTCATTCCGGACTATTGTGCGCCGTTGTGAATCAACAACGTTCACGGTCTAAGCTCGTAAACCGTGCTCACCTCCAGGCGAATGGTTGAACGGTGACTCGCGGTGAATTTACATAACTCGCCACGATGCATCGGCTCGGATCATAATTGTGGCCGTGGAACGTTCCGCGGTGAAATATCCGCCGTGTATTTTCGATATTCGTCGTTAACGACGGTTGCGTTGCGCCCGATTTCTGTCGTGCCTAGATTGCGCCGTACGTTTCCCAACGTGCGCTTCCTTTTTCCATTCTCGCAATCCCCGTCACTTTGAACACTGTGTTATCGTAATTGCCGCTCATGGAAACACTCTAGGATTGCGCAATCCTCATCGATTTCTGCGGCGTGTTTCGAATCGATGCGGAAACGCGTTCGTTGAACGAATCGTGTGGAATCCGACGATGTTGTTCGACTGGATCGATACCGTCGATATTCCCTTTAACGCACAGTGTTACGTATAAGTTATATCCAGAAAATCATATTTCCAGGAGTTTCAGCATGGAAATATAGATGAATTGCACGTATTGGGACCATTTTTTAGTTAACCAATCGCGAGGAATAATTTTGTTTCCCCCTGAAAGAGGTGCCAGGGCATTAAAAGCTTAAAAATGAATAAGAAAAATCTTTCCTAAATTATATTTAAAAGTCACATCTAGAAAATCATATATCCAGGGGTTCCGGCATGAAAATACAGATGAGTTGCACGTGTTGGGACCATTTTTGAGTTAACCAATCGCGAGGAATAATTTTGTTTCCCCCTGAACGAGATGTCAGAGCATTAAAAGGTTAAAAATGGATAAAAAGAAACTTTTCTAAATTAGATTTAATATCGATACTTTCGATTTTAAAATAACAAGATAAACATGTATATATATAATTTTGAAACAATAATTTAAGGGTCTTGTCATTAAATATAACTACCAGCCAAACGTATGGGGCCAGAACTGATAAATTAAAGAAAAATTCTGCAAAGACTTGATGACAATAATGTGCTGAAACTAATTGGGTAAATGATAGTAAGTCACTGGTTCCAACAATCATGAACTCTGGTCCCATACTTGTACGTAAAAATAAACTGTTTTTTTTTCCCAATAAAGGAAACATCCTCTATTCGGTCCAATAAAGGAAGTATTCTCCATTTTGATTGCAGGTCCAGAGGCTGGCCGAATACGAGAGGTATCTGGGCCAGGAGGCGAGGAATCTGGTGGAGAACGGAAACGGTAGCGTCGGTAGCGGCGCGGTTCTCCAGCGCGGACAGCTCGAGGGCGATCTGCATCGCATCCAAGAACTGTTTCCCGGCGATAACCTGCGGCTCCACGAACGAGATGTCCTCACCACGGTACGCCGCGCATATTTTTCACCCTGTAACGTTTGAAAATTCATCGGGAAAACTCGTTTTCTCGATCGCCACGGCGCAGAATAGTCCAGAATTAAAATATGATAGCTGACACGCTTATTTAGTTCAGGAAATCAAAAATTTGCTTTAAATTGTTCCATTTTGATTCTGGACCACTGTGTGGCGTCAATGGTTCCGCGGAATGGATTCGTCCACATTAATCCCCCGGCGTTTCCGGTGGAAAGGCCATCGAGCGAGAAAAGTCTACGTGTTACGAGTTTCGACGATTCTCACGAGAACATTTTTCCCCCTCCTTCGACCGTGGAAAGTGTACACATATATAGTTATTCTCGTCGACAGACACATAGGATCCCCGTTTCCCACGCGGCTCGTTGGACCCTACGTGATGAAAATATCTCTTCCCGTTTTTTTTTTTTTGCGCTCGGTGAAACCCGTGGAAACTGCAGGATAGAATTTAATCAGGAAGTCCAGAGACTAGAGAGCATGGTACTGAACGTGTATTTAACTCTTTCATTCCCGAATTATCTAGCAATTACAAACAAATCTATCTTCTTGCATTTTGTCTATATTACACGGTATATAAATGATTCACAAGATTATTTCAAAATTTTCAAAGCATTTAGTGCCATTTTTCAATTCGTTGTCATTCGGCGAGTTTTTTCACTTCTATCACAGTTATGTAGAACAATTGATATTACAAAGTTATTGTACATAACAAAACCCATTGTTCATACCTTTGATCAGAGAATCCTCTTGAAATATTTAAAAGAAATTACAATTTTATAAGTATTTCATTACTAACAGTACTCAACACACGGATTCCAGCGAATGAAAAATACAAAGGACAATGTCTTATAACAAACTATAATCACAGATACGAAATATTTTATTCCGTAATTTAGAGTACCTAGTCATATGGCAGCAGTGGAAAGGGAAGGGTTAATTACACGTGAAATAGGGATCTCTAGTTAGATTCTTCGTTCCAATTAATTCGCGTGCGTCAGCTAACGATTTGCATACAGGACGTACGAGTTGAGAATTGTCTCCAGAGCTACTACTTCTATCAGAGGGATCTAGATTCCGTGCGTGTCGCCGTAGGTAAATAATATCGTGATCTGTTAATCTTCTCCAGTCACGTCGAGAACACGGGAACGATGACTAGGAAGGGGATCGTTTCCTCGAATCACGAGGAATCATCGTCGCCCAACGTTCGTCTTTGATTCTGCTACAGCTTTCCTACGATTAACGCGATCAGTGTCAGTCTCTGCGCTTGGAGAACCGTGTAGTCGCGCGTGCCAGTCTCCTTTGTAGTCTGTAAACGGTGATGGGTGGACAAGGTATACAGGGTGTCTCACCCGATTTTGAGATCTTGATTTTCTCGCTATTGTTATTCGTAGAAAAAAATGTTTCAGTGGAGGCTTGAATGGTATCGAGTGGAGCATATTCTGATGTTATTAGTTTTTTCGTGAGTGGACGCGTAAAGGTCATATAAAAGTCAACTTTGTTTTTTTAAATGGAATAAGGTATTTTTTTTTAATGTATCAATCGATGCAGCTGGACATTCGATATAAAAAAGTACTAACCTATATGTGTCGAAAAGTTAGTAGTTCAGGAGATATTTCAATTTAAATAATTCTAAAATACCATTACTGTCGTACTTTATTAGCATTCCTGTAAATAAAATTATTCGAATAAAAATTTATTCGAACACTTATTCGAATAATGTCCAACTCTGGTGTATACCCAATCGATTTCGTAAGGGAAATACACACATCCACGAGGATGACGGGACGGAGACGTTCTCCACGAGCCTAATACGTCGGTCGTGTCAAAGCGTAGAGTATGTTAATCAGCCTGTCCTGTTCGACTGTAATTTCGTGCTTTCGTGGGCCTCCCAACCTTGCTACGTCTCGCCTATATTTGGTAGCGTTATTTGTCAGCCGTAAACGATGCTTGGTGATCTTCTGCGTTGCTTTGACGTCACCGAATGTCATGGGGAAGAGGATAGATAGTCGTGGACGTATCTGGGAATCGTTGAAACTCTGAGTACGATCCTCGAATCAAAGAGTTAGCCCTGGCCGAGTATCCTGTATGGTCCTGGAAGATTGCTTCTCGAATCCTAATCGATTGCCTAAAAGGTTTCGTTGACAAAATACATAAATCTTCAAGAATTGAAATTTATTTTAAATAAAATTAAATAACATTTTATCATAACGAAATGGACGAATACAGCCCCCCCCCCTAGACCACCCTTTATTCCAGCGCTGATCATAGACAGAGATGAGCAAACTCGTTACTTAGATAAAAAGTTTCGAATAACAAATAAAAGATAAGAAAACGTAAAATAGTACTTCTTTATTTCATTAACTGTTTAATGTCCAGGACGACACTCTTAGATACTGCTGCTTTTCACTGTGTATTATTCGAATAAAATTCTGCCCAACTCTGTTCTCAGATCAGATTGATAGGGAACATAAAGGTCGAAAGAATCTGGTTCATCAACTTTCTGTTTATGGATAGCAAACCAACTGATATCGTTGTATTATAGCAATTTGTGTCATCATTTCAGAAAATGAAGAGCCTAATCCGCAAGAGGAACGGCGGTAATCCCGGAAGGCTGACGAGAGTACTGTCCCAAAAGTCGTTGAACGTGTCGAACAACTCGCCAGCTCCTAAATCGCCACCGAGGACGTTTCTCTTGGAGACCCCGGTCCAGTTCACCACGGTAAGATCCGCCATCGAGACGACAGTAATCGAGAAACGATAGAACAAGCTTACGGAAAAATGCGTTAATCGACGTGTTCGACATTCGTGTGCAGGGTGTCCAGTCGCAGGAACGACATCTGTTCCTGTTCTCGGACCTGTTGCTCATAGCGAAGGCTCGAAGCGGCGGTAACTTCAAGCTGAAGCAATCGGTGAGGATGAGCGAACTTTGGCTGACGGCTGGCCACATAGAAGACGTGGCCGAGACGAGCAAATCTCAGGAAACCAGCTTCGTTCTCGGCTGGCCCACCACGAACGTCGTCGCCACCTTCATGTAAGAACTGTTCTCTTCCTATAAAGTAAATTCTCGATGAGTGTTCGAAGGGTTCTCGACACTGAATTGAAATTTTTCTCAATTTTGAAATAAAATTGGCATTTTAGTGAACAATTTGGTGAAATAGAAGTGACAGCCTGTTGTGGACAGACTTGTGAGTCATAGATATTCGAGTGGGTTAAATTAAATTTAAATGGATCACCCTGTACACCTATCTGGTCCTACGAACATTAAGCCTCCACTCTACGTTTTACGATTTCCATTACCGTGTAAAATTACTCTGAAACAACCCATCCAAGAAATCCAAGTACCCAGAAAGAAAATGCCCCTTCGCCGGATTAGACATAATCGATGCTTAAAGTCAGCTTTATCGATCGACCATCACAACGGTTCGCCTCTTTTGTTTCTTTCAGGACCGCAGCCGCCAGGGATCTCTGGTGGGGACGTCTGACCGAGCTGGTACGAGAGGAGAGTATGAAGGAGCCGCCGGACACGAACATTCAAGTCGTGTATCACGACAATGACACGAACACGGAATACGTAAGTGCAGCCCCTTCTACCCGCGCGGCCAGACGAAACCGAGGGAGAGATTGTAACCACGCGGTCACGCCTTCACGGTCCATTCTTGGCACCATCCCCGTGTCTATGTACGTGTAAAACCGAGAGAGAGGGAAGGTTCGATCGCTTGACCTTCCTGGAGGCATTCTCGGCCCGCTCGAGATGCCCCTTTTATATCATTGACGTCAACGTCGAGTGGATCGCGCGCCTATCCGCTAAAAAGAGCAGCCTTCTACCGTGGGTCTTTATCGACGCGTTCCCCACAAGACTTACAGCGTTCATTATCGAGCGGCCGGTTGCATTTAAATACCACAGTGTAGAGAGACCGCCGTCCCTCGAGGCGGACTATCAAAGGGAACACAACCAGTGTGCCTCTTCGCGTTTAGCCGGAAGGTAACCAACGCGCGCCAGTGTCTTTATGTCATAAATAACCGTGTCTGTAATCGCGATGCATTCTTCCCCGCGGTGTACCATCATCATTATTCCACGAAATATCTACCTACCTATTGTCTCCGTATACCGTCAGGAGTAATCACATCCGCGTTTTCGTTTGATCTCTGTTACAGTGTAAAACGATAATGGTGGGATCCGAGATGACCGCGGCAGCCTGCGTGAATCTGGCCACGAGACTGTTGGACCTCCAAGGACCGTTTCAACTGTGGGCAAGAACGTCCGCGGATGAGGCCCCGTATCCGCTTATCGGCCACGAAAGACCGTTCGCGGTGAAACTGTCCAATCTGAGACACACATTGTCCGCGGACGAGGGTTTCGATTTAGAGCATTGTAACAAGAGCGGTCACGATACCTGCCATTTCATTCTCAGGCCGGTCCCCAAGTCACCGGTGAAGAAGAACAAATCCAAGATCACGGGACTGCTGAGAAGATCGCTGTCTTTGAACCCCAGTCTGTTCGGCGTGAATCTGTCCAGGCTGGACGAAAACGGTCTACCGAAACCGGTACTGGTGATGCTACAGCAATTGTTCGCCAAGGGTCCGTTCACCCAGGGAATATTTCGGAAGTCTGCGAACGTTAGGATCGTACGTGAATTACGGGATCAGATCGAGTCCAGCGGGGATCCGAGTTGTCTCGAGGACGCGCCGATCATAGCTGTGGCAGCTCTGCTGAAAGACTTTTTGAGGTCGTTGCCGGACCCTCTGCTGACCTCCCATCTGTTTCCGTTGTGGATGGACAGTCTGGAAACGCCGAATCCTATTCAAATCATTAAAAAGTAACGATCATTCTTTGTATGCTTTGGAACCATGTATCTATTTATTATTCGAACAACTGGTATATATAACGTTTGTTTTCCATTCTAGTATTTTAGACAGATTGCCGAAAGCGAATTACACCCTACTGTCGCATCTTATCTGCGTGCTTCATCACGTGGCACGTCGATCGAAGCACAATCTGATGTGCGCCAGTAATCTCGGTGTCTGTTGCGGGCCGAGTCTGTTGTGGTCGCCGAATCCGTCGGTGAACCAGAGCCGGGCAATCCCAACGCTCACGGAGATGCTGATCCGTCATTGCGAGGTTCTGTTCGGCGAAGGTGTCACGCAATTGCTCGGCGAGGAGCGCAGCGACAGCGGGGCCGAGGAGAGTACCGATAGCCTTCACTGTGAGTGTACCCTCCTTCGCTGTATCGTCGATCACGGTCACGAAATCCACGTGGCACGTGTATCGAAAATGGTATTATAGCTGCTTCAAAGATATAGCGTTAGGCACAAACGTAGCCGACCCTTGAACCATTAGTACTCGATCATCGGGGGCCCATTGTGTCCCACTGTATTCAGAGGATCGCTACGCTACTTTCAGCTATGGGGTTCCTAGGAATAAAACGAAAAAGACTGGAATATTTGAAAGAAATTAACGTTTCCGTAAGCTTTCATCAAGAATAAAACTCAAGGGTATCGAGTGACAGGATTAAGCTACCGAAACACATAACTTTAAGATCGGTTTATGGCTAACACTATATCTTTGAAACAGCTATACACGTGCCGCAGTCGGATTCCGCGCAGGTCCCTGTCTGACCTAACATAGTCCACTGAAGAATTTCTCTCGGTTGCAGCAGGTGGGCTTTCCCTGGACAGCCTGGACCTGACGGAACCACCGCGTAAAGACCATATGTCTCTGTCACGAGACTCCGGTCTGACGCTGTCCGATTGCCAGTTGTTTATACCGGAGTCACCGGTCGGCTCCGAGGATTCCGCGGTGAACGCCTCGACCTCGAGCTTCGACAAGTCGATAATCGGCAAGGAGGACAAGTCCACCAGCAGCAAGTCGTACGTCCGCGTGTACGGTGGCTGGGAGGAGCGAATGAACGGTTACACCGGGACCAATCATCACGCGAGCACGGTGGTCGAACACGGAAATTTCCGGGAAGAGAAGAACGGCAACGTCGTGGGCTATCCGAATCCGAATTTCCAACGGCAAGACTGGCTGAGGGCACAGCTGAAGAGAACCCCGCGAACGAAACTGGACGAGCACGATCATCATCGAAAGGAGCGATTCGACGAGAAGGATATATACGGCCGGGAATACCTGCGGCAAGACTCGATGAAGGAGAACGTAGAGAACTGCAAGGACATTTACAGAAGCTCGCAGCTTGATATATCGCGCGACTTAAGGTCCGAATACGAGAGAGCGTCGCAACAGGACATCTGCACGGAACGCGTGTCCGTTCACAATTCCGAGCAGGACTTGACGGTGGACGCGTCGTTGTCCGGCGACCGATACGAGTTTAAAAAGGAACGGTTCAGCGAGTTCAAGAAGGTCAAGTCCGAGGTGTACGTGAATCGGGACTCGCCCGTCTCGCAGAACGGTAGCTATCATTCGGGCAGCGATCTGTACGAGTTCAAGAAGGTGAAAAGCGAGATCTATGTAAACAAAGAGACCACCAGGACCACCGAGCGTTACGAGTCAGAGGGCAACATATACGGGAACAGGGACAGAACGAGCGAGATATACGGATCGCGGGAGAGGAACGATCTGTACTCGTTCAAGCAAGCGGAGGCGATCGATTTATACGGGGACGAGGACGATGAGGAGGAGGAGGAGAGAACGTGGCCGGACACACCGCCGCCCCTACCGCCGAGACTGAGGCATCTGCCGCCGGTGCATATGAATCTGGAGGACAGGCACAAAGTGGCGGGCAGGTCAAGGTCGCTTCCGCCACCGCCACCGTACAGGCCGCCGCCTCAGCCTCGTGCCACGGTCACCACGAGACACTTGGGTTACGGTAGATCGGTCGTAGACGACGAAAGCTACGTTTGAAAGGGGCCGTCGCGGGTGATGAGGGGCTAGAAAACGTTGGTCCCTTCCGCGCACCACCTCGACACAGAATCAAAGGGACGATACAGTCGCCCGTCGAGACCCTTTATTGGTTCCGTGTACCACCGCGATCCGATAGAACTTTGCGAGCTCGTGGAAATGGTTAAAACACTTTTTACACGCGATATTCGCCGTTCGAATTGGGATTCTGTGAGTTAAGGGTTGTACAGAAGGTCCCAGTTCATCGAGTTTGCCGGTAATCGAACGATCCGAATGCCCTCGGCCGGCCCATCCGAACGATTCATTTTGGGCCGCGACCAGAGATCACGGATACACGTTGGCACGTGTTGATGTGATCTCGTTACGACTGAAACTAGTCCAAACTGGAACGCACGCACGACATTCGGGGATAGTAAACGTAATATATGTATGATACGTTGTCCGTCATTTGTCGAACGAACGAACGAACGAACGAACGAACGAAGTTCGTTGCCGTCCGCCATTTTCTAGAACGCGAACCGAACAAATTTATACAGTAGAGGGGAGGAGACGTACGCCGTTATGTCTAGAAGAAAGTCAAAAAATGGCGCGCTATCCGATTCATGGCGATTCTTGTAGCAATAGACTTGCCTGTTACACAGTGATTCAGGGTGCTTCCACGAACCTTTATCGATAGGTTTCTTCTTCTTCTTATCCTTTTTTTTTTTAATTAGACGTTCATCATAGAGATGTTACATTGTTAAGGATAGACTGTAGCGGACAAGACTTGCGTCGAGATGATATTATTCGTAATTCTTTTTCTTACGCGAACGAGACTAGCTGTAAAAGAAAAAATATATATATATATGTGTGTGTGTGTGTGTGTGTATGTACATGCAAAGAGTGAAATCGCGTGTCGTCGCTAAAAAAGAAGGGACAAAAATGAAATAAATGGGTCTCCGTGGTTGTTCGAACGAATGCCTGCTCTGTAGAAATTAGAGAGATTGTCGATATTATTCGTTCCATTCGTCGTTTTGTGATCATCGTTTGAACACACAACCGATACGCACATATCCCTGTCGAATTTGTCTCGCGAGTCTCGAGAGTCGCGTTTCCCTCTCGCTCTGTACATTCGCGTCGAATTTCTTCTTTTCTGAACCTTCTCCATCGCCGGAAACTCGTTCACCCGCTGGGATAAATATAAAACTCTCGTGTCCCATTCTCTTCGATTAATTATAATTACCAATTTTTCTTCTACCCCTCTTCTTCCCGTCCTTCTTTTTACCTTCTTAAAGCGTATTTAGAACGTATAAAAAAATCGTAGATTGTCTCGTACCGCGGATGCAAGCGCGATTATCTTAAGGCAAATAAGATATACACCAGAAAGTTGTCTGAGAGATCACTGCGTATATTAATCACGTCCAAAACGGAGTTTTCCTTCTTTGTAAATATGAATAATTTGTAAACTGTAATCTTTTATATCGCTAAAAACTATCCGTATTACACGATACACACGCCCTATGCAACGCCCGTAAGGTAATGTATACTTTATCTAAATTATACGACATGCTATGAAAGGTTAAATATATTTCGTATTTTATACAATTGTGTTCTCGTGCCGGCTATAAATATGTATTTTCTCGTGTCCCGCGACCGTAATTCCCCTCGCGAGCGGTGCACGTGCACGGAATATCCGATCGGTATTCTTGACAATCGTCGAACGATCGTTGCTTGTCTTCTTTTTTTTTTCCTCTCGCTTCCGCTTGTATACAATCCGAATACTACGCGTTTCCTGTTCCGGTAAATTGTTCCCTCGAATAAAACGGTGGTCGCACGCCGCCCGTTCATCGCAAAATGCAACGTGAAACGATCTTGGACTACGAGGAATTCGCTAGTCTCCAATTAGACAAACCGGTTACCGATATAAGAGTACGTGTACCAACATTCGTCTCGTTTGAAGTAACCGTTCGATTGATAACCTAAAACATGCGTCCTTAGAACGAAGAGCAACTGAAACAGCACAGTCTAGATGTCAGTTTGGAAAAACGGCCAATAGAAAAAGCGCATTACCTTTTGACGTAAGTGAAAAGAGAGATTATATTACGCACGGGGAAGAAATATCGGTGTTCACAAATCTGTGTTCCTCCTCTGTACGTTTGCATTCAGTGTCGGTAAAACAGTTCCCTTTCACCGTTACCGAGTTCCGGTTGCGCGCGGTCTTGAAAGGACCAAACGTATCCTTGGATGCTCGTAATGATAGTAATTTCGCGCACAGTACCTCGACAAATCACCGTGCAGAGCCTTGATTTTAAACTACGTTATCCTCGCGTGATTATCGTATCAAGGTTGTTGGGCGATCAATTAATTTTGTATAAAGGTAAATAACGGTTAACACAGAGGCGTGGGTTGATCGAATCGGTACAAATACAATGCGGAGAATGAGTCATCTACATTCGTAAATATATACCGATATCAGTATTGTTCGAAAACAATTATGATAATTGCTGCTGGAGTGTCGATCAATTTACTCCTACATGTTAAATCAATGAAACTTTAAACATAATAATCGCAATGATCTGCACAGTTCAAAGGAAGTACATATCTCAATCGCCATCGAATCACCTTTTAATATCGGTGACAAAGTCAAACCATGGAAGAGTAATGATTTTTTTATTATAATTGGAATGTTTTTTTTTTTAGAGATGTGCAAACGATGTGCATCATCGCGTGGTGACCGCATCGGTTCGCGTCGATTACACAACACCGTCTCCCGATCGACGTATCGGTTCTATTGTATTACGCGGGGGTTACGTGTGTATCCATCGAAGTGCGGTACGTAGGTTGCGCTCGGGCGTCTCCGTCACAGTTCGGCCGGGCTCGCCGCCTCGTACGACAAGTCAGATATAATCGATACCTTGGAGTCGGAGCCCAGTTTAGTTGTCATCCACGTTCCGTCGTGTTGTTTTTCTTGCGTCGAGTGTGCGTCATGAGAGTGCGTACGCGTGTATCGTCGTGAACGTAACGGAGTTAATCGTGCGTCGCGACGCGATCCAGTGATACCGTTGAATAAGATGCGCCCCGAAAATGCTGCAGGAGGACGATAAATCTCCGTACGAGAGCGTGCCGGACCCGTGAGTAATCCATACGATTGCTTTTTAGTTAGAAAATCCTTGTGCTCCAAATCGGCCCCGTAACTTTCTTCCCTCTCCGGTTTGTCTCTCCCTCTCGTACGCACCCATGCAACCGTCCCTAAAAATAACGCGGCGTCGTTCAAGGAGTGTACTGTCCTGCCATCCGACTGCCGCTAATTATAGTCCTTTAAAGACATCCACTCGTAAGAAATGACATTCTACGTACGAGTAACTCGTAAGCAATGCTCTGCACCACCCTATTTAGAGAACCCACCGTGACCGTGCCGTTGGTTATTTCAAACGTTTGACAGCAATTGTCGGCTCGCTGTTCTCGTCCGATCTCTGTTCTCGCGGGAATCGTAATAATAGCGCCGATCGTCGGATTTTCGGGATTCCTCGGGGATCAGAATGCATCTGTGCATTCGTATGTAAACATTGTACCGATGCGGGATTCCGCAGACGTACGCTCCAAAAAGGATACGTTATGTAAAGATTTTCCTGTCCTTGGAGGTTGCATACATTTAAGGAAAATAACGATACCTCGACAAGATGGTTTCTATACGAACAATTATGCTATACAGTTTCTTTTTTATTGACAATAGAAGATAATTAGTCTATTAATTTGATAAAATAGATTGTTGAAATGATCATGGCTTTATTGATTTATTTGTTCATTTTTCCTTTCTTCATTAAGATAGAAATTCTTAGATATTCGGTTGCATGTATTTAGGTAATTCACCTGTATTTTTTATTAGCCCATATGTGTAATCATTTCAGGAAAGGAGATGATTTTCAAAAACTCAGCGTCATACAAAACTTACCAAGCCTCTTACAGACAGACACGCAATCATGCATGTCTCGTGTGGTACCAAAAATGCAGCAATCACTGGCAACTGCATCTACAGAGTTCCACATTGCAGCATCCACCACATTCAAAACGATATTAGAGCAGAAACTTGTCAGCCATAATGTCTTCAGTCAAACATTCCTCCCAAGTGTATTAAATTCCCTTGAAAGCCGTGATCCAGGTAAACTAATCATGTTCATTCGTATATTAGAATTGCTAGTTAAACCCGTATCGAACAGTTTCATGCATTTGGTGTTACTCTACATAACTTTTAACATGTATATATACATTTAAAGTTGTTTGTGATGCATGGCTGGAGACCTTACTGGATGTGATAGAGTTACTGCCGGTAGAAGTCATAAGAATGCAGGTTCGTATAGACAATCATAGAAATTGATATTCAGATATCATTACAATTTAGAAGGGCAAATGTATTGTCATTCGTGTAGCACACATATAACTCGATGATGTAGTAGATCAGTAATGAACTTGATTTATTTTTGTTAGTCCCAGCTAGACTAAGCATCAAGTACTCTTAAGACTCGCTTATCCCAAAGAGATGCTATGTATTCAACATAGCTTCGATAATATAACTGTTTAACAAAGCTCAAATTTTACTTAAGTCCGATAAGATAGCAGTATAAACTGGAGGATAATAGAATTAAAATCATGCAGATTCTTCCATTGACTATAAGCAAAGGACAATTGTCTCAACCTATCTACTCCAGGATAATGTGCAGCAGGTTACTAGGGAAAATTTGTACAAGATTCGAATCTGCTATGTGAGTATTTCATTTTTTTTATTTGGAAATACACATCTATGAGCAGTGCTTGTCAATGAAAAGTTTTTGATGTGCAAAAATGATCAAAGATAGTTTTCTTTTTTTTTTGGGAAAGTCGTTGAATAAGTATACATATTAAAATTGTTGTCAGGATACAGAAGGAAGTTCTACCAACGGTACACTCCCTTTGTCAGGATGTAAATAGTGAAGTACGAGCTAGTATCTGCTTGCAGCTACGTTTTGTTGCCGAAGGCCTTGGTGCTGAGTCTGTAAAACCTGCTTTGCTACCATCTCTCGTAGAATTAGCAAGCGACGAAGAAAGCAATGTAAGATGCACCTCTGTACAGACAATAGTGTACTTGCTACCTCATCTTCAGGAAGGTATGCTTGATGACTAGTTGTCCATTATTCATTAAGCATTCCAAGTTTCTTGTAGCTATATACATTGTAAATTAACTGGTAAATACAATTTCGTAAACGCCAAGACATAATCTATTGTGACCCACGTTTACAGATACAATAAAAACTATTATAATGCCGCTTGTTAAAAAGTTATGCGAAAACGCAATGAAATCGAACGATAATGTGATATGCGTGATTGCCCAGGAATTTGGGAAGCTCGTGCTTGGCTTGGAAAGTAAGACTCTCTCCACGTTGGAATTTATTCTCGTATCTGAAGTTAGATGATATCTATTGAATATTTTAGATTGCCTTGCACCCGCGGAAAAAACATGGTTTTTAAAGTACTTTCAACAGCTTGCACAAATGGGCATTATTTCGATGAAAAAGGAGTCGAAACCGCACCTTCCATTTGTAAGTACAAATCCTTAAAACCCAAAGGGATACAGATTGGACTGAAATTAATTTCTTTCTTGTTTTAGATTAATTCCAATCCTGGTGAAGACGAGAAATACATAGAGTGCCGACGGTGTTGCGCTTTTAATATGCCTGCAATGTTTCTGTTTGTATCATACTCCGCCGACGATACAGATGCATTGCTTGTTACGTTTAATGCATTAGCGAGCGATCACTATTACATAGTTAGGAAGACTGTAGCAAGTGGATTTCATGAAGTAAGGGGCATCCTCTTATACATACTTCCACGTTGTGCTCCGTTACTTTATATACTCACAATTATGATATCTGGACGCGTAGGTGGCGAAAGTATTGGGTCCAAAGAGTGGACGGATAAAGGCGGATCTAATAAAATTATTGAAGGACGATTCTGAAGAAGTGTTACAAGGTTTAGTTCCTCACATAGGATTGACGCTCGATTGTTTAGCTGAAAGTCAGACCATTGGGGTGGACAGGGTGGTTTGTACTTTCTTTCTTTTTTTTTCTTTATTTCATGCCACTTCAGTTCTTTTACATCATCCATACGCTGTTGCTTATTGAATTCAGGATTCCACTCTTATGGAAATAGGCAGGGCGTTGTTGAAATGCGAGTCGGAAATATCAGGCACTCACAATTGGAGACTAGCATCGATGATGCACTCGCAACTTGAAATAATACCCAAGTACTTTCCAAGTGATTTTATATATTCATACTTTGTGCCAATGGCGTTCTTCAGGATATTGCATGCTGTGAGTGAAACAAGTTACATCTTCGTTCTTTTAACGTAATTCAGAAGTGAAGAGCAATTCTATTGTTCTCAAATTCTAGAGGCCAATACCCGTACGTCTCGCCGCAGGAACGTTGTATCTGTTTCTTTTACGGTACAACATGAAGCCAATGCAAAGAGTAGAACTCCGAAGCAGACTGTACACAGAATTAGCGAACAGCCCCGATTGTTACGTTAGAATGATGTTCGTTCGTATGATGATAGAGGCCTTTGAAATTTTCTCAACGGTGTACTTCAAGGAACATTTCTTCACTACTTTATTGAACTTAGCGGAAGATCCGGTGGCTAACATAAGGATTAAAGTAGTTTCGCTGTTACCCCAATTGAAAAGCCAGCTGTGGATGCCAACGGACAAGAAGCTGTTATCGGCGATGGAAACGACCGTAGGACATTTAATGAATAGCGAGAAAGACAGGGACGTGATTACAATGTTGACGATCGTCATGCGGAAACTGAACGAAACAGAACTTAGATACGACGGACAAACTGTAAGTGCTACTATTTAGTGGATGGAAAGAAATGCATCGATGCCAGTTATTTACTATTGAAGCATTTTGTTGCAGTCGACGGCTAAACAAACGAAGCACGATATGGAGGACACCAGAAAATTAGAGGAAGAGAAAAGATTGTCGGGAATGGCAGCCGGAAAATCTCCTGCTGGCGGGGCCACAATGAAGAAAGGTGCGAATAATAATAACTCATGGAATTATTGAAAAATGTTGTTTACGACACTATATTTTTAGGTGCATGGCGACGACCAGCCGATATTTCAGCGAAACCAGCGTAAGTACTTCTTACTATGTACACTTAAAAGTCGTTTATATATGTATTTAATAAATTCCGTGTGTTCTGCTCTTTCCAGGTCACAGACAACGTCCAAAGGTGAGCACACTTCAAATAGTTTCATTCTAAAACTATTATTATCTACTTAAACAAGTAACACGTGCGCTTCGTTACCAAAGGTACAGGATCTCCACGTCATAGTAGCGACTCCGGAAGAGTAAGGTACGCATACATTTTATTCCCTTCCGAATACTCGACCATACTGTTAATATACAACATTCCAATATAACGATATTAAGATCGTCAACAATTTGGAGTCGATTGTATTTTCGAAATTCAACCAAACCATCTCAGTTCCATCTTTCAACTGTTCCTTTAGTGTATTAACAATTCCCAACAAGAGACTAACCATCAATTTCTGCACGCTTTACAATCTAACAGACCTCAGCTAACTCATCCTTGGGAAAGGCTAGGGTATAGCAACACGAACCCTGTTGGCATGGGGCATGGTAGCTTCGACAATGGGCCATGCGCCGATTATCTGATGCAAAAGATGCAGCAGAATCGTTCGAAATTGGCTTCGTTGCCGTTAATAGTTTGGCCGGACTCGTGCGAGTGTGACTACGAGGAGGAGACCAACCTCCACTCTTGTCCCTCGTCCGACTACGCGAAGTCTGTCTTCTTGGCGATCATGCGGGAGAACCGGCGGAAGTCCCAACAGAACTTCTTACTAACACGCGATTATGCACGCGAGTTCTCGACTAACATCGCCAGCAAGGACACTGCCACCGCGAGAACACTCGCCAGTGCTCCAAACCTGGCCGTCCTCCGAGCACTGACCAAAGCGGCTCACTATAACTCTTGTTGGCCTTGTAGCTCGATGCCGGAGATACCGGTGATGCTGTCCGACGACGAGTTTCTCGTGGACGCCGGTATCAGGATACCCGTCCAGTTCTCCGCTTCCCAGACGGTCTCCAAAATACCGCATCTTCAGGACTCAGTGTTCACCAAGAGAAGGAGTGTCTTCAGTTTCGAGCGTTCACGAACAACCATAGGCATGAGCTTCGACAAAGGGAAGCCTAAAAGGAATTCGTCCGTGGAGTACGAGGACTGTATGAAAAGAAGAACCAACGGGGATCAGTCGTCGAGTAATCTTCGGACGTCCATAGATTGCGAAGACGGGTTGAGACTGGTGAAGGAAAGTCAACAGATCGGTAAAAAGGATACGGTGTACGTTGGTCCTCTGATGAGAACCAGATTTGGCTTTGGTGTCAGTCAAGACAGGTCTATCGACGATAAGATGAAACGGAGTTCCTTGATATTGGACAAAGATAAATCGAAAGTTCTGCAGTCCAAGTGCACTTTGGACAGAACTAAACGACACTCGTCGAGCTTCGAGAAAGGAAAGCCCAAGAGGAACTCGTCTATGGACTACGAGGACAGTATGAAACGAAGAACCAACGGGGCTAATCAATCCGGCGATATGAGGAACTCCATTGATTACGAAGACGGCTTAAGGTTGATGAAGGACGATCAACAATTGGACACGAAGGATTCGGTGTACCTCGGGCCTCTGATGAGAACCAAGTTCGGCTTCGTGAACCAGGAGAGGCCTATGGGCGAGAAGATGAAACGAAGCTCGTTGATATTGGACAAGGATAAACCGAAGCTCGTGCACACCAAATGCACGTTGGATAGGACTAAAAGACACTCGGCGAACTTTAGCCTGAAGCCGACGGACTCGAAAGAGATCAAACCAGGCATGAAATGTCATAGCATAGAGGTGTCCGATTACGCGCCAAGCGAACGTCTAGGCAGGGCTCTTAGGCGATACTCAACCTTGGACGTGAACCATAATCAGGGACTTAGCAAAATACCCTTAAGAAGTTTTGTGCCTCGTAGTAGAACCGCGCCGGCCACCAGGGCGTCCAGTCCTGTTCACATAGAGAAGTTGTGCCGTATGCCGTTCTGGGAATCTTAAAGAGCACGCTGACACGCGATCGTGTTTCAGAGGCAAAGATTCTTCTTGCATACGTTGATTCGATTAGAAAACAGAATATTCTGTAGGACTCGGAGCCTCCATTCCCTTGTTTGTTCGATGCATACGACTCGACCGGAAACCATTTGTGTCAGTCATGTCGTTGCTTTTTTTTCTCCCCTTTCACTTCAGTTTTTAACTGCGTTCACAGTGGACATCGCGAACGGTGGCCATCAAACTAAATTAACGAGGATAAAGTGAGCACTTTCCAATCGACCGTACGTTAATTAATTAATCTCCTTAATAGAAGTCTCCGGTTCATAGGTCACTGCGACGACCGGGTGACACGCGAACAGATTTCTAGCAGCGTTTTCTTTGACTTCCATGCGCTAACGAGGTACTCGAAAACTGTTGTAAGGGCTATTTAGCTAGTTCGCTATCTCGTGCCTTCTTCACGGAGCCTTCTGCGTTCTTCGTCGCTTCTCATAGGCAGCCTAATAGAACGTATTTTCTTATTGGTATATTTCTTGCCACGTACCATACGCCGTTCAAATGTTTTCTAATATTTTAACAATAATCGGCAATAATCTGTGCGTTATTACGTAAATCCATTATCACCGGGACGTGGACGAGCCATGTCAAGGGGAAATATATTTTTCCGTTTATTTTAGTCGCGACGCTATTCATAAATGATTGTCCACAGGCGACAACTTGATCAGGGCATTCGCGATACGCATTTTACGGAGCATTTAATTTTCAATCGCGTTTAGATTTTTGTTCTGCATTCGAAAACGATAGAAAGGTCTCTCTCGTCGATTACTTACTGGTTCGAGAGGTTGCACCGCGAAGATATTTTTAAACGTGAATACAGCAGACACATACACACGCATGCTTGAGTTTAGAAGACTGTTTATCGAAGTTCGTAAAGAGTTTAAATGACGAAAACAAAAAAAGAGACGAAGAAGATAAGACTATTTTGCACTTTATTTTATAGCTGCATATCCAATACGTATTGGCCTACGAACAGAGTGAAAAGAATTATATGTATATATATATATACATATGTATATTCTTATTGTTAATAGAGTTTAAAGAGCAGTTGTTACTTCACTAATCGAATATATTCTAATAGAGATTATTATACTAGGAGAAGATCACGAAATGACGCTAGGGGTTACAGTATTGAAATAGCCAATTCTAGGTCTAGTCTCGAATAGCTGTAAAGCAGATCTAGTTTCGACACCTTCGTGGGAAAGGTGATTATAATTATTATTTTTTTTTTTTTAAATCACCCCCGATGGATTTTGTACTTTGCTTTTCGTACAGTCGTTCAATCTTCCTTTTTAAATCGATTGAATTTTAATTGATTGAGGGAGGGGGAGATTCTGTTCTATTGGGAATCTCTTACCAACGTTCTAACTTTTAATTCTAGAACGGTACGGAAGTTTTGCGTAGAATTCAGCCAGACAACGTTACACGTTCGTTCGACGGTGTGCAATATTTTAAGCGTTTTTAATTCAATCCCGACTATGGTTTCGCCTTTTGCACTTGACTCGAAGGGAGCCCAACCAGATCTATTTAGCTGTTACGTGCTAGGCCGTAATCGTAAGTTTTAATCGGTATCGATCACACGGAACATCGACGAGTCGAAAGGATTCCGTTCTTTATTCGACGACGAATCAGCGAACTCCCGTCGGGAAATGAACTAACCTCACCCCTTTTTTTGGAGCACGACTTTAGGGATTTTCGAATTCCCCGATTCCTCCCTCGCGAGAGAACGTAGAACGATCACGGTCTTCCCCAGCCGTGCTGCGGATCGGAATACACTGTTGTGTCTTAAGTATGAAATATTAATACAGTCTTTAAAGATATATTATTTCTAATAGAGAGACTGACCAAGACACGATTTAATGAATGTCTTAAGGGCGGATCGTATCGAACGGAGAGAATTCTATGGAAAAGAAACAAAGAAGGAGAAAAAAAACAGATATTATCAATGCAACAGAAGGAGCAACACAAACGTAATATCGCGACAAAGAATATTTTTCATCGAGAGCTTGTAGAGGTTAGATTTTCGGCGCGAACGAACGGGAATATAAACAGATGTAAAGACGCTTCGAAGCCAAAGATATAAATATGATTTCTAACAGTAACGAAGTCGAAATGAACGTACAAAGTCCTAAAGGCATTATGTACTTCCGTATGTGTACCGTGTACATTAAATACCGTGTAAGCTTTACATTGCAAGTGCCATTGAACACACACATACATACATACACACACACAACGGAGATATCGACGCGTGGAAAGCGGCGACATCGAAGAGATTTTCACCGTAAACGGGGCTAAATATATCGCGAATATTTTTACGATATTTAATATCGTGCCTCGGCTATCCGAGGAAACGAAAAATGAGAAGCAAGATGTTAGAATAGTCCGTAGGCCTCCAATATCGTTCAAGAATCGAAAGAACACCGGACGATCGAGAGAGACTCCTATCGTTAAGCTCGATCGTCTCGACTGTTCGCTTTCTTCCGTTCGTCCTTTTATAATTAATTGTTCTTTGAACATTTTAACGATCGGATGATCGATCGGACTTTGAGAAATCCGTGTAGAATAATAATGAATTATTAACAGTATATATAATGAGATGATTTATAATGAGATCCATTTCTTGCACAAGCTGCTGAACACCGAGTCGCTACCCGTTTACGTTCGAACATTATAGGAGAGCCATCACCGATTCCATAGTGTATCGACGAATTATTTTAAAACATTTTATCCCGGAACACATCACTCCACCGATATCGAATCTGTGTTTCTGCGACAATTCGTGACAAACAAGACCGTTTTCAGTCACGTCGTAAAGCAACTTTCGTGTGTTTTAATTCGAAATTGTTTTTTTTTTTTTTTTTCGATAGAACAAACACTATAGTGTCCGAACGTACGAATGGGAAGCGACGGTAGACGATATAACATTACGCTTAGGGTGTAGACGAGCCACAGAGAGCTCGAGGCGATTCACCGATCGAATTGTTGCCACACCGTGTAACCGACGTTAATTGCTCTGTTGCAACGCGTACAGCTACCGATTTTACATAATATAGCGAGGCTTGTCCTGTTATTTTCTTATTTTATAGGAGTCTTTAGGGTATCGTCGGTCGTACGACTAACGTGGGCCACCCAAATCGGTCAATGAACAGACAAAATCTTCGTCGGAAGATGAAATCTGTCTGGTTTCTGTAGTTGTACGATCGTTGGTACCGCCATGCTAGGAAACTTCATTTTTATAGAAGACCTTGTAGTGTAATATATATATAATATACAGGGTGTTCGCGATAATTTGTACCATCGTTTTTTTCGTAAACAGTAAACATTAGATAAAAACCGAAGAGGAGGAAGTTGTAGTATATTTTACTAGTAATATGATAGCATATCTAAAGTTTGTATATTTTTAATATTTTTCGAAAAACAAAGGTGACCTTAATTTTTTTAAATGGAATGCTACATATTTTTTTACATCATACAAAAGCGGGCATTAAGATGAGTTCAACCATGTAGTATACTATGGTCTTCAGGGTCATACAATTTCCTCCTCTTCGGTTTTTTTCTAATATTTATTGTTTACGAAAAAAACGATGGTACAAATTATCGCGAAGACCCTGTATATAATATGTATATATATACACACACGCGCGCAGAATATACACGTAAACAGAAAACGAGTAATACATTTAACGAAACTGAACAAACTGTTAAATATGCAACTAGGGGCAGTAGAGCGTCGCGCAGTTCGAAGAGAAACAAGCCAAAATAATCGAAGAGTTTTAAGAGGATTAGAACACAGATACTGAGTGACAGAGAGAGAGAGAGATAGAGAACGAGGAAAGTAAATGTTTTCTCGGACGTCGAGAGCATATCCGTCAAGATGTATACCGCTGAAAATGCTGCTATTTATTTTTGTACAGATCTACCGTACGGTAATACGAACTTTTGTGCCAGAAAGTAAAAGGAACAAATATACGGCGGTATGTTATTTAAATACGTCATGTATCTAAGTATACCACGCGGAGGACGAGAGAAAAAATATACGTATATATATATATATATATATATATATATACACACACGAAAGAATATACATACATACACACCGTAGATACACGTATGGCTATGAAGAGACATTTTACGCAATTGTTAAATAACTTTACTCGTTTCTTATGTGTATAGACACAAGAGACGAGTACCTTTACTTCGACGAACCGTTACGTACGTGTATACACGCGTCACACGAATTAACATACATACGTATATTTAAACGGGACAGAAGAAATTAGTTTCTTTAATTCGACTCCAAACGAACGATTTCAAAGACGGAGTAATTTTAATTGTAAACGAAACAGATCGTCATCGAACGGTCCGCGTTTTTAAAAATGGGAACGAGTATACATATATATATATATTTATGGGACACGCGGATACGATGAAATATAATAAGTACGCGCGGTTCAAAAGATGGGGAAACGATCAAATTCGCGGAAACGATATTTTTATTACTCACAAACGATGCTCCTGTAAAGAATAAAGAATGTTACAAAAACCAGAGACAAAATGAAAAGAATTGTATTTTTGTGAGGTATATCTGTAATAAAAATATAGTTAAATGTGAAGAGAATATATATATATATATACACACACACACACACACACACATAAATGTATATATATACATAACGAAAGAAAGAAAATGGAACGTGTCGCGATCGTAGATTTTATTGGATCTGTCGATATTATATTATACATCTGTTTTAGTATACGTTACGAACAATAAATCGAACTTTTTTTTGTTACGTAAACCAACGTTTCTCTTACGACTAATGATGTCCATTACAGATACAACGTTTTGGAGGTAGGTACGTCAAGGATCAAAGACGAGGTTTGCTTTTTTTACTTTTAATCCTTTTATTTCTTCTACTTTCTTAATAAATCAGTGACTCGAGTCG